TGCCCCATAGGCAAGCTGCTTAGGCAGGGACCAGGACAGATCCTGAAGTCCTGCCTCCCACCTCCAGTCTGTTTCCATCATGGCTTTTCATTCCTCACTGGCTCAATCACTTTTGTAAGACACCCCTGGGCTAGGAGACCTGCAGATGAAACAGAAACATAAATGTTAGAAGTTTAGACCAGTCTGTCAAAATAAACAGGACTTTGTGAAGAGATTGGAAAGTTGTTAATTTGAAGGGACCATATTAAAGTACACTAGATAGCTGGAAAACCTACAGAGAAAGAAGTTTATCAAGTTGCTTGGACAACTTTCCATTGAGAAACCAGAATATGATCCTTTATAAGAGTTATCAGGGAGTCAGCTCAGAGTTACCTCTGAAAATCACCTTTGAATCTGTGTTTCAGCCCAAACACTTGTTTTCAAATAAACTATTTTCCCCATATAAGTATGTATCTTTGGGGCACGGACTGTCTACTGCTCTGTGCCTGTACAATGCCCACACTAAGGGGCCCCATTCTTGGTTGGTCCCTAAGCACTACTGTAATAAATATTATTAATAATAATCATATAATGTAACTCCCTAGGCTCCTGGGGTTCTATGTGCCTGTAACTCAGGGAGTGGCACACTGTCCCTGGGAGGAAAGGGGAGCCAAGGCAGACTCAGAGTCGGCTAGGAAACCAAAGAGGGAGAGAGGAGAGTCACTATGTATAGGGCCCCACAAATTCATGGTCATGAAAAAGCTTCATGGACGATGAAATCTGATCTTTTGTGTACTTTTACCCTATACTGTAGAGATTTCATGGGGAAGACCAGCGTTTCTCAAACTGGGGGCCTCGACCTAAAAGGGGACCATGGGGGCAGTGGGGTGTCAGAAGGGTATTGTAGAGGCTGGTCGCGGTATTGCCACCCTTACTTCTGCGCTGCCTTCAGTGCTGGGTGGCTGGAGAGCAGCGGTTGCTGGCTGAGGGCCCAGCTCTGAAGGCAGCAGCGCAGAAGTAAGGGTGGCAATACCATACTATGCCATCCTTACTTCTGCGCTGCTGCTGGCAGCGGTTCTGCCTTCAGAGCTGGGCTCCCAGCCAGCAGCTGCCATTTTCTGGCTGCCCAGCTCTGAAGGCAGCACCGCCGCCAGCAGCAGCACAGAAGTAAGGGTGGCAATACCACAACTGCCCTACAATAACCTTGTGACCCCTCTACAATCCCCTTTTGGGTCAGGAGCCCTACAGTTACAACACTGAAATTTGAGATTTAAATAATCTGAAATAATGAAATTTATGATTTTTAAAATCCTATGACAGTAAAATTGACCAAAATGGACCATGAATTTGGTAAGGCCTTAACTATGTAGAATACCAGGGGCCCAGTTGGCTTGGGGGAAGATAGCATGCAGTCTGCTTGGAGGAGGGGGCAGAGTGAAATGATTGACAAGTGAAAGCCCAGGAAGCTGAGTTAGCCTTACCAACAGGGAGTGAGCTGCCATCCCTTGGAAACCCTGGAGGTGGGAAAAGCCATTTTGGAGTAGGAAAGGGCAGGACTGGCTGTGTGGGGAGCTGGTGAGTCCCAGGCATGCATGCAGGGTTCCTCCAAGAATTGGCCTCTGGGGACCTGGAAGCAACATCCCTCAGTTTGGGCCTTACCCTCTCCAAGGTGACTCCTAGTTTGTAGAGTTTTGTTGGGAAAATTCCCCCCAGCCAGGCTGAGTTAGCCCTTTAGCTCCCTAGGAAAAAATCAGTCACCACATGGCACCACCACTGCTCTGGCTGCTAGTCCAGGGCTGGTGCCAGCTGAGAATGCATCTGAGCACTAGGGTAGGAGACTAAAAAGTTTGGATTTTTAGTATAGTTTTGTAACCTGCACCTTGAGCCCTGCATCCCTTTGCGGTAAGGGGAAATCCTGGGTCCAGAAGCAGCCTGATTCCTGCATGAAGAGGACACTTGATAGCAGCGATCATCAGCCCTTCTGCAGTAATTGAGGAGTCCAGAGCCATCTCTGAACCGGAGGATCATTCGCGGAGTTGTGAGAGCATGCTTTAGTTAGCTAGTCAGAGAGATTGTTTAGGAGACCCTCCTACTCCTGAGCTGTGTCCTCAAGCCAGTGGGTAAGAGTTGGGGATTTTATTACCTGCTGCCTATTAAACCTGTGAAGGGACATGCCAACTTATCCCACTTGGGAGTCTTTGGGGCTGTACTGAACGCAGTCAGCCAAGTTGCTAACTGTTGCACAGAAGATATTGTGGTCACAATTCATCAAGGGCCCCTACAAAGTACGCATACCAATGGGATGCTAATTTTTATGTTTGCTATATCAGGTCACGTGACTGGGGGAATTCATGGGTATTATCAGTGTGGGCACCAGTGTCCCTGAGAATAGTGTTCTACCCTGTTGTGTTATACTTTCTCCTGTTTAATATAATTGCTGTGTTGAATATAGTGTGTGTGTGTGTGTGTGTGTGTGTTTGTGTTTCTTGGGAGTCTCCAACTATCTGGCAAATAAGTGGAGGTTACCCTGTGGTTAGAATTTTCCTCCCAAGCTGCCCTGATGATCCTGCCAGAAAGGAGCGGGGGCAAGGTGGGGTGGGGGGCACCTCCAAATAAATTCATATGGGAAGAAAATAAATAAGTTACACCCTACTGAGTGGAAGGCAGGATCCAGAAGAACCCAGGCCTGTCCATCTAAAGCCGCAAGGAGATGGGCGCCTAAGGAGGCAACTGGGTGGATAGGGGGCATTATAATGATATTTCTATGTACATAAAGTGTACCTCTATATTTTAATATTCTGTTTGGTGTTTCTGTTCTTCAGTGCTGTGTAATACAGCCATTTGTTAGGTACTTTAGCTATTAGAAATCAGCTTAGCTCTGTGAGTACAGTATTTTTGAAGAATACCATAATTGTAAAAGCAAATAGGTTTCTGATCATCAGTTTTATTTTTAAATGTGCCTCTGAGCACCAAGCGATCTTTTTTGCTGATACACATTCTTTTGAGAACATACTTATACTGTATATTAGACTAACAAAGGGAAGATGGTGCTGACAATCTACCAGTGGTAGAGTCTTACTAAGTTCTCTCACCTTCTCCTATTTTAAGGTTCTTGCTTTTGTTTACAAGTCCTATCTTCTCTTAAGTGTAAACCCACTTACACAAACACCCATCTTCCGCCCCCAACTTCCTTCACAAGCTCCTGTCACTGGATGTGACAATGCCAAGTGCATATCAGGACAATTAATTGCACCATGAGAGCTTGGAACATCAGGCCCAGTTGTCTGTACACATTTGTATAATGAAGCCAGGCCACTATTAATTACATTTTTTTAATTGCCTTATCTACTGTTTTTCTAGGGATGGGTTGTTGGTTTTTTACCATAATTGGGAAGGAGGAATTCTGGAGCAAAAACATTTTTTCCAAACTGCTCAAAGCTGAATCCAGTTTTTCCAAGAACAAAATATTTACATCTTGAAACCACAGAAAATGTCAGTGACTCCTAGAAAATAAGAATCCTCTGAGGCTTCCCATGACAACTGGGACCCAAACCATACAGCAGAAATTGCCTAAATTTGAGTAACCTTGAGATAGGTTATGGTGCTTTAAAGAGAAAACATCTGTCTCAAGGACTGGGGTGCCCTTCCAACACCTGACTGATGGAAGACCACTTTACCAGTTATTCTATTTTGTCTCAAGTTCTCCCATCCCCCTCCAATCCCCAATTCTCTTTTTTTTGTTGAGCCAACAAGAGTGCTAATTGAAAACACTGTGTGAAAATTAGAAGGCAGATGAGCTACTGAAAATCCCAGACCTAGATCCACAAGCTGTTCCCTTTCATAAATAGCAGCAGTAATGCCACTTCTTTATTCTGCTGGGAGCTCAGTCATCTCTTAGAACTACAGTCCGTTCCATCTGGCTACCCACTGGAAGGACAATGATCTTTTAGCTTAAGCTACTCTGTAATGGGGAACATGTAATTAATTGCACTGTGCAATATCACAAAAGGTCACGACCAGGAAGGATGAAGACTTCTGCCTTTATATTTGCAGACGAACCCCATCTCATAACACATTAAGTCAGAATTTTAGCTGCATTTATACATGCCATTCATAGTGCAGAATATGCTGGAATGTACGGTACATATTCCAAAAAATCCAGGCCAGTGTACTTACAGCAACAAAAGCAGGTAAAAGATTCAAGCCCAGGATATTCAGATCGAAATTGCAACATTATAATCCTTTTGTCAACCCACAAAGTATGCTAATATGTATACAGCATGGGGAGGTATATTATAGTGCAAAGGTTGGGTTGTTTTGTTTGCTTGCTATTCATCAAGTCTTTTATTAAGGCTTTTCTAGATGGTAAGCAGCAAAGCAAAATTTGCAGAATCGTGATCTCTGAAATACTATAAGCATATCATAAAGATGTATCGGATCATTAAACCTCAGCAAATGCTATGTGTGGCCTGACCCAGTTATATCTTGCTTAATTTATCTGTATACCTGCAGGTCCAAAAGAACAACACAACACATAACCAATTTGACAATTTCTGTGTGCTACAGATTTGCTAAGTGTCCATAGCAAAATGGGAAGCTGTTTTAATTTTAGTAATTGGGATTAGCTGGTGAACAACCCTTTGGTGATAACAGGATTTCTCAATGACTACCAAAACTAGCAAACACTCACTGCAAAATTCTTCAGATTCATCATGCTCGACAGAGAAATCTTCTTGTCAGTACGTCATGCATGCAAAGGCATGTTCCTCCTTCTCTGTTCTACTCCAGACTTTGACAGTCTTATTATTCATCTGATACATCAACCAAGATGTTGAACAATCCTGCGACATACCAAGCACTTAAGTCTCCCTTAGAAATCAGGGAGGAGATTTTCAAAGCCATAAATGGGAGTAAAAACACCCAACTTCCACTGAAAATGGTTGAGCATCTCACTGGTCTCTGTGCCTTTGAAAATTTCCCCTCATTTATTTCCAGGCTTGGTGCAATGGATGTAGTGTAGGTGCTGGTAAGCAAACCAGTCTGAGCAAGGGGGTGCTTACCCAAGTCACTAGCGATCAAGCCGGTTTACAACCTCTCGGACTGTGGCTATGAGATTCTCATTCTCCTGTGGGTTAGCCAGAATAATACTGTGCAGTCTGTTCATGTACGAGTCAATGGTGTCCATTGTGGGGGTCTCCCCACTGCCTACAGTAAATATAGTGCAAGAAAGAAAAAAAAGCCACAGAATATTTAGATAACTACAGCAGTATCAAACATTACCATTCTAAGGAGCATTTGCATCAAGGTGAAAACATATTGCACACAGTTAGACCCAAAAGAAATGTAACTGAAATAAAGCATAAATCTTTAGCAACAAAAGCCCAGATCCTCAAAAGGTATTTAGGTGCCTAACTTCCACTGATTTCAGTGGAATTTAGGGCCAAAGGGATCATATGGCAAGGGTACACAGCAGTACTGTTCCCTTTGTCTGCACCTGTAAAAGACCCTCTGGGACTAACAGCCTCCCCCCACAAAAAAGAGAAGAGAAAACCCCCAATACAGAGAGTAATTGTATTAAAAAGTTACAAAACTGGGAGACAGTACCCTTAACTCTAGCTCTCATCCTGCAGCCATTGTCAGGCTCCAACTTGCAGCACAGGAAAGGTTTAAAAACGGACCTGCAGCCTAGAATTAGTAAACCAGGCCACAGAAAGTAAATTCACAGGAACCAGTGACATACAACTAACAGAAGTTGGACTTAAGCAGTGGTAGAGAAGCCCCATAAAGAAATGGGGATTACCTGGTAGTGGGACTCCGGCAAAGCTGCTGGTGAGTGCTTGCCGTAAGGTCTCCAGATGCTGCTGCAGCACTGTGTTCCGGCTGCGCTCCTGGATCACATCCACCTCCAACTTCTCCACAGCAGTGCGCATACTCTCCACGTGCTTCTGCAGGGCAGCGTTCCTCTCCTCAAACTCCATGTTGGATTTACGCAGCTGGCGCAGCTCTGCTTCCCGTGCTGTGAACACACCCCAAAAAGGTATGAAATAACTGTAGAAAGTAGTCCTGTGGCAGTGAAGCAGAATGTTCAGGGATATCCACTCAACTGAGGATGATTAAAAAACCAGTGCTATTTTGGGCTACATATGAAGAAGCATCATACCACAGAACAGCGAGTTGATAATGCCTAGAATTCTGAAGTTAATTCTGAATTCAATTTAATACCCGAGATACTGACAAATTAGAGTGAGTTCAGAGCAGAGGAACAAAAAAGAATAGAGGGATTGATTGAGGAAGGAAGATTGAAAGAACTACTATGAATACTTTCAGCACACTATAGATCAGCAATATAGTGACAAGGGGGCTAGAGACCAGCAACTGACTACAAGTATTAGCAGGGTGTACATTTTAGGTGCCTGAAGTTGAAATTTATTAGAGTGTGGAATAATCTCCCAAGGGAACTGGCAGATACCCCATCACTTGAGACATATGAATCTATTAATATAAAATCAAACCCCTACAGCAATAGAGAATATATTGTAGAAAATTTTGGCTGGGGTCATGGACTAGTTGGCTCAAAGAGACTTTCTCTTGTCTAACTTCTGCTAACTAGTGCACATTATCTACTCAACTATTTCAAATATTTCCTCATTCTAACAGAGCAACTGCAGTTGGAAAGACTGGGAAAATAGCATCTACATGAGCTCGCCTACAGCTTGTACACCAGCACCATTATCCACAGAGAATCCTGTTGGAAGAGGGTAGGCCTGGAGTACCTATCTGCTCAGCCATTATACTCCTAAGAGATACTGTAACCTTACTAACACACTGAGCCATCTGACTTCACTCTTTACGTAAAGCACTTTCTGTGGCAGGACTGGCGAAAACACTGCATGAGTTTAATTCACCTTTGCTGTGATTCAGGAACTCTTCTGTGAAGATTGGGATATCAAAAACAGACCTCTCCTTCGTGTCTGCTTCTTTCTGCAGATAGAAAGTGACAGTTAAATACTGCTAATTCTCAATTGCTAATAAAAGAAGTGACAGATCTATCAAGAAAATGAGAAGAAGGATGGAGATGATTCCAGCAAGCCCCTTTCTCTAAAGAAGCTATTGGGCAAATCGAGCATTGAACTGGAGATGACAGGGACTCCCATTCCTAGAAAGCCACAAGACATTTGAGAGATACAAGGGAAGTGAGCGTTTAACAAATGTAGATCTCAATGGTTCAGATATTTCATATAACCTGCCACCTAACTTTTTTACCTTAATGAAACTGCACATTACACAAGACTTCAGTACTTTCATAACTATTCTCATGAATTCATCCACCTCTCCAAATTACCATACTTCAGAACAAGCCTCTACAGTAAGACAAGATGGCAGATAAAGTAGATGATAGTTATAGTAAGTTTCACAGCTCTGTTTTTGACTATCAATGCCAAGATATCCAGTGAGAGAAGAGAGAAAGGAGCTGAGAAAAGAAAAGGGAGAACCTTGCACTGGGTCTTACAGTTCCTTGTTTCTGTCTGTTAGGGATTGCAGAAGGTGCAGAGGTGACATATTCTGCCTCAGAAATAAAGACAGGAGCTACACAATACTTTAAATGAGCCATACCTTTGCCAAGCAGACTATTATTCAGACAGCAACAGAGGGTCCTGTGGCACCTTTAAGACTAACAGAAGTATTGGGAGCATAAGCTTTCGTGGGTAAGAACCTCACTTCTTCAGATGCAAGTAATGGAAATTTCCAGAGGCAGGTATAAATCAGTATGGAGATAACGAGGTTAATTCAATCAGGGAGGGTGAGGTGCTCTGCTAGCAGCTGAGGTGTGAACACCAAGGGAGGAGAAACTGCTTCTGTAGTTGGATAGCCATTCACAGTCTTTGTTTAATCCTGATCTGATGGTGTCAAATTTGCAAATGAACTGGAGCTCAGCAGTTTCTCTTTGGAGTCTGGTCCTGAAGTTTTTTTGCTGTAAGATGGCTACCTTTACATCTGCTATTGTGTGGCCAGGGAGGTTGAAGTGTTCTCCTACAGGTTTTTGTATATTGCCATTCCTGATATCTGACTTGTGTCCATTTATCCTCTTGCGTAGTGACTGTCCAGTTTGGCCAATGTACATAGCAGAGGGGCATTGCTGGCACATGATGGCATATATAACATTGGTGGACGTGGAGGTGAATGAGCCGGTGATGTTGTAGCTGATCTGGTTAGGTCCTGTGATGGTGTTGCTGGTGTAGATATGTGGGCAGAGTTGGCATCGAGGTTTGTTGCATGGGTTGGTTCCTGAGTTAGAGTTGTTATGGTGCGGTGCGTGGTTGCTGGTAAGAATATGCTTAAGGTTGGCGGGTTGTCTGTGGGTGAGGACTGGCCTGCCTCCCAAGGTCTGTGAAAGTGAGGGATCATTGTCCAGGATGGGTTGTAGATCACTGATGAGAACACTTCAACCTCCCTGGCCACACTGCTGAGCTCCAGTGCATTTGCAAATTTGACACCATCAGATCAGGATTAAACAAAGACTGTGAATGGCTATCCAACTACAGAAGCAGTTTCTCCTCCCTTGGTGTTCACACCTCAACTGCTAGCAGAGCACCTCACCCTCCCTGATTGAACTAACCTCATTATCTCCATACTGATTTATACCTGCCTCTGGAAATTTCCATTACTTGCATCTGAAGAAGTGAGGTTCTTACCCACGAAAGCTTATGCTCCCAATACTTCTGTTAGTCTTAAAGGTACCACAGGACCCTCTGTTGCTTTTTACAGATTCAGACTAACACGGCTACCCCTCTGATATTATTCAGACAGTTTTTTATCATGGGTGAAAATAGACACAATGGTACAGAATTTGTGCAAATTGCTTATGACTAGCAAGGATGAGGTGGTTTGTTTTTCATTTTCTGGGGGAAGAGAGAGAGGAAAAGGGAAGGATGTTTGTGTGTGCTTTTTTAAAAAACAAACGTCTGCTCCCTTGCACTCTTCCGGGTTCCTGATTACAGTGGAACTCATGCAGATCTCCATCATTGTGGGAATGACTTCAGTCATTCAGGTTTGTACCCTTTGCATGCTGCAAAGCCAAGCTCTGCAAGGGCAAGGTTCATGAATCCACAACTGTATAGGGCATTGATTGTTTTCTCCCAGATTACGGGCACAGGAGCATCAGAACTGCTGCAGGAACTATGACCTGGGGGATAATTCACATCCCACCACCTCAAACACACATGTTGTCAATCAGGTGTACATTAGGGGTTATAAGCGTGTATGTTGGATGTTGCCCCTAACTCTCTTAACACCACATTGTTGGCAGGTGAGCAGCAAAGCAAAACATACAAAATCTTGACCTCTGAAGTGCTGTCTGCTGACAGTTCCACTATTAGGACTCCAGTAAGTTTTGCTGTCCTACCTGTGCACAGAATAGAAGCATCGAGAGATCCTAAGTCTGTGAGCAGAGAAGGCAAGTGGGAGACAACACTAAGCTGAACACTATTTGCAACAATATTTGCTGAAGGTCATCTTTTGTGGTCCAAGGGCTGCTTTTTCTGCTAGACAGAATGATGGTATGTAACTGCACCCTCACCTATTACTTAATTGTGTGTAGTAATGACATGACTGCGCCTTGGGAGATTGGGAATGAGTATATAAAGGATGTGGCAACAGACTAGCCAGTGTTCGTACAGATTTCAAACTTCTAGTTATTATATCCCCAGATTAGGTGTTTTCTAGTGGGATATGGAGGGAAGTGAAAAGAGAACAGAAACTATAATACTGAATAGTTCTAAACCAATTCCTCAACTTGGGTCCAGCAGGGACTGTGCTGATTGAGGTGTCATTATTATTTATTAAGTGCTGATAATGTGTGTGGTGGAGCTAGGCAAATTTTTTTGGTGAACAGTTTATTCACCAAAAAATGCAATTTCAGTTGACACAAAACTCTTTGAGAATCTGTGTCAAATTCACCAAATAGTTTCAAATGAAATGGGGGAAAATGAAATGGTTCAGAAATGTCAAAACAAAATGTTTGATTTTGAAGCAACCCAAAATTTTTCATTTCGATTACCGGCATTGTGACAAAAGCAGAGGAGGACTAGAATCAAAAAACAGGAAAAGGGAGAGGAGGTGGCAGTGGCAAAAGACACTTTTCTAACCTGTAGTCTAGTGGTTAGGGCATTCGCTAGTGATGTGAGAGGGTTGGGTTCAATTCCCCCCTCTGCCTGGTGTGGAGAAGGAATTTGAACTTCTGTTTCCCCCATTGCAGGAGAGTGCCCTCTCCACTTGGCTATGGGATATTCGAGGATGGGTCTTTCTCAGCATTTCCTGATGAAACTCTTCCACTGTTTTTAAATAAATAGTCACTGAAGCCAAGACTTTAACGTGGCCCTCCCACATCCCAGGTGAGTGCTCGAAGTACCAGGCTGTAGAGTTATTCTCGCTTTCTGTCCCTGTCCCAATGACTATTCATAGTCATACACAGTGGCAATTCATAGTCATTCATATTAACAATGAAGTTCAAATCCCTTCCCCACATCAGGCAGATGGGGGAATTGAACCCACAGCCCTCTCATATCACTTGTGAATTCCCTAACCACATCCCAGGTAGGTGCCCTGCCCACTGAGCTAAAGGTTATAGGGAGGCTGCTTTCTCCTTCTCCTCTTCAGGTCAAAACAAACACGTTTCATTTTCATCCCACTTGAAATGTTGGATTCATCAAATATTTCAACAAATTTGGGGTTTGGTTCAACCCAAAACAATTTTTTTGGAATTGCCAATGAACCAAAAAAATCCATTACTCACTCAGCTCTAGTGTGCGATGTTGTACAACACAACAAATGAGACTGTCGTCTTTTAAAATTAGAATTAAAACAAGGAACATGACCACCTGGGATCAAACATCTAGTAGTTTTCACAAGTGTAGTGATATCAGCACCTGGTACCCTGGTCAAATTAAACTCAGATAATTACATTCTAAAATTCCCTTGCTGTTTTTTTGTGTGCAGAAGGTAGTCTTCACTTTTTTTCTGGAAATGTGGTGTAGTGGTGGTGTTCTGTACAGTTAAACAGCTGTCACAGCCTACCCAAGAGATGACTACATTTCAGTGGTAAATGAAGCGATCCCAATTTATGGTTTGTGTGTCTATTAAGCATGCAAACCATTTTAAAATCATCAAAGATAAAAGGTGCAATATAATTTGAAGATTTTTTATTTTATTTTATTATTATTAATTATTATTATTATTTTGTTTTTAACAGAAAAAGGACAAGACAGACAGACAAAATGTAACCCTGATGAGTTATTATGAAGACAGTTTTTTCTTTAGGGATTTCTAAAAAGTAGTTTAAAGTCCATATTTTTAGTGGTGCCTCAGTCATAATTTCTACAAGTCAAAAGTACTAAGAATAAATGTTTGTTTTCAAAGTATATACTGATGATGTCAAAGACACAACAGAGCTTTCTTGGTTGATAAATTGGAGTAACTATAATCAAACTGCTGCTTAATATAGGAACAAAGATAAGCATTAGAGAAATTGCTACTGAAAGCAGAAGGTTCTCAAACCTCTAAAACACCTTGGCTGGTAAAATGCACCAAGAAATCATTCCTTCAAAACCATGTTTAAAGCCTGAGATAAAATGCCTCTCTCCTGCTTCTGCCACCACTATGGTCTTTTATATTTGAACACCTTGGTCTTTAAATGAAATGTCAAACATGATTTGGTACCCAGCAGAAAAGCTAAGTGGTTAACAGCCTATCAGGGAATTCTGGCAGCTAAGCTTAGTGTTTCATATTGGTGTCTGGCTCATAAAGAGGCTAGACTGGGGTGAAGCGAGTGCCATTTGGCAGTCAGCCAAGATAGACCTGGCTAGATGGAACTTCAAAAACCTTCCAAGTGTTTACCTGAGTAAACTGTCAGAGTCGGTTTATTTAGTTTTTACTTTCTTTTTTTAAAAAGTAAAGCGGAGTTTCATAACGTGGTAAAATTGCAGCTGGGAAGTCCTAGATTCAACAAGAAAGCACAAAGCTCACATGCTACACACCAAGTGGGCTTGTACTCAAGACTGAGAGTAAAAGAAAAACAAAACAAAACACGGTCCTGATTTTCTGAGGAGCTGAAGAGATGCAAAAATGTCACAATGGCTTTCTTTATCGCACCCATTATCTACCCAAATTCTGATGCAGGCTACTGCAGGAAAAAAAAAAAAAAAATCTCAGGATGTGTATTCAGAAAATGAGGAGTCATGTACAGCAACAAGCCTGGCAATGTATCATCTGATCTTAACACCCTCTAGACAAACACAAATTAATTTAATCTAGAACTCCGGAGTCTCAGCAATAACACACTTCAAGGAACGCTGGCAATTATGCAGCTTGCCCTCCAAGTGCTTTTTGCTCTACCAGCCTAGGCAATTCATGCTTGATACTACTAGCTATGTGCTGGAGGCATTGGCATGGACCAGTAATGGCTCCTACAGACTGAAGGGCAGAAGAGAGGGTATTACAGACATTATATATGGTGTCCCAGGGTAGAGATTCTTCAGGTACAAAATAAAAAATATTAACGCAATTAGGTGAAATTGCTCAGTCTCTGAAAGGCAACAGAGAAATTCTACTTAACGGAAGACTGGTAATGAAAACCCATCAGCACTCTTCCATTACCAAGTACATTACCCAGCATGTAAAGGATCCTCTCGGGGGCTCGGATATACTTAAGCCACTCTGATGCTTGCTCAGGGGATTAAAATCATAAGGATTTGATTACCCCTTCATTGAAAAGGCTTAATTTGTTCAGGCTGAGTGTCATTTTCTCATTTCTCATAAATTAAAAGAGAAACAAAAAAATTATTGTTTCTATCTTTGTCTTTAAATGAGATGGAGACATTTCCAGAATGTCAGCCTGGAAAATTATTCATTGGACTGTTAAACTGGGGTTGGCGTTAGGGGCTTCAGAGACACACTGGACTTGAAATTCTTAATAGGGATAGAAGATTGAGGGTATGTGGGGAAGGGGAGAAAGAAGGGAGAAGAGACGTCTTTTTGAATATCATCCCTGCTATGGTCATATGCGTACCTCTCAATGCTCTGCATTATAATGAATGCTCCCTATTGGGTAGACAATTTTTGTTGTGCTCCACTACTCTGTCAGGCCCTTTGCCCTGCACTATACTCTACCTTATAGACATCATCAAGCAGGCCCTCCTTTCCTTAGAGTGGATTGGTCACTTCATGGAAGCCTTGCCAGTAAGGAGGCATGTTTTTCTAATCAGCTGCATGAAGCTGGAGCTATTCTGGTTCCAACAATTTCAGAAAAGGTGGAGCAGAAGAGCAGGGAAAGAGAAGAATACAGAGAGAACATAGAGAGAAGAGAGGTACTTATGTGCTTCTGTTTTCTTCTGCCCACAAGAGTGTCATGACAGGCCATACAAACAGTGCCATGTGATAAGGGAAGGGAAAATAACACCACTGTAGAAAGTCATATTACATTTGAGATTAGTAAGGTCACTTTTGATTAGTGTGAAATATTGAGAATATAAACACAAAATCTCAGTTATTTTAAACCAAGAATAAAGTTCACAGCAGTCACTGTTCATCATGTATAATATTCCACATAAAAATTCATGAATATGGGATTTATGTGAAGAGTAATCTATATATTTTATTGTGATTAATTCAAATTTACTTCATTTTTTTGTCCTTTGCTATACTTTTTGAAGGTCATTGCTATGCACATGCACTGTGTTTAAATGCTAAAGTGATATCAACATTGTCTATGGTAGCTAAACTATTACCACTGAGGAAAAGCTTCCTTGACCCAGAGGTGCTCCCAAATTTTTGCAAGAGATAATTTAGCAAATCCTCTCTGATGGTCATAGAACTACCACAACAGCAAGCAATGGTGATTAGAGGAAGGAGAATAGGACAGGGATCCAGGAGCTCCTGAGATCTTAAATCTAATGATGACTTGCTGTGCAATCTTGGACAAGTCACTTAGCCTTTCTGTGCCAGTTTCCTCCTTTGTAAATGGGAATTACACTACTTACCTACATTAGGCCTTGTGTAGACACTTGCTGTGGCGTGTAGGGTATGCATAGCTACACGCTGCAGTGAAAGGCAGGCTGTGTGGTATATACCTACATGTTGCAGTGGAAGGCTCTGGCAGTGGAGAGGCAGAGGAATACTACACTGCTAAAAATAGCAGTGTAGATGTGAGAAGCACTGCTTGCGTGTAGGGTATACCACCTAAGGTTCTAGCATGTCTGTAATCTATTTGCCTAAGCAGTGCCTCACTGTCTACATTGCTATTTATACTAGTGAAAGCTAGGCATGCCGTGTCTGTACTCTGCACACCACAGTAAGTGTAGACCTACCCTTAGAGAGGTGTTGTGAGGATTTATTAGGTAACTTGTGCACAGAGTTTTGCAAATATGGAAAGGTAGAAAATCCTGAAGGGGAGAGGAGAGGAGGCTTTCAGAACAGGGTGCCTAGCCGGTGGAGTTCCTAACTCCACTTGAGCAGTCCCTGCTCGGATGGAGCATAAGAACGCCATACAGATGTGCAGGAGGGCAACTCTCCTCCATGAGTGCATTTAGATAATGATGATCTTTCAGTAATCATATTACCTAAATTGAAGGATAAGAATTAAGCCTGTTTGAATTTTTGAAGTGACTTGTCACATGAACATTGCTGTTAAACAGAATATTTATGTAATCTAAGTTTTGCACAAGTACTATATTACTGACTGGGACAAGGTTACAGTGTTTTGTGGGGGTTACTAATAAAAAGTCAACTCCCACGTGGCATGCAGATTTAGGCACTTCATTTTAGACATCTTAAGAGTCCATCTATTTCTAAAGGTTCGTCTGATAGGGAATACTTGGCTTTGGGGGTCAGTGGGAGAACGCATCTGAGCTGAAAGCATCCAACCAAAGCTGCTCCCTGGAAATGAAATGTATTATCCTTAAAGTAGACAGGAGCAGCAGAAATTAAAAAGTTGCAGTGGCTTGGCAAGTGGCCATCACAGTCATACTTCCAATAAACCCACCAAGGGGTACAGAAACTGATGACTTTCCCTGAAAAGGAGGCTGGCTCTGGGAGCTTACAGAGGAAGAGCATTGGCAGGAAAGTCTCTTGCCCATATAGAAAAAGGGGATGATTCATCTACTTGTTTTTTTCCTATTTGCTTGCTGCAGTTTGGTGACTGTGAAGGAAGCACCTGGCCTGGGACCCTATGTAAAATGGCCCTTGTTGTGTTTGGTTCTGTTAAAAGATTGACAATTACAGCACTTCGGATAACTTTGTTGTCAATCAGGATCCAGAAGGTTTAGTGTCTGTTTTACATCAGGGGATCTAGAGTCTTGTTACAGCAAGGCAGTATTTTTCATTACTATTCACTTATTTGGTATGCTAAGAGGTGTTACAACAGGCCTCCCAACAACTTGGCCATTTCCCTCCCTTACCTTGGAAGAAACCACATGGTGGTTTTTGTACTGGAACAATAACCTAGAGGTGCGACTTATTTGTGCATGATCGGTCTATGTCTCAAGCTGGCCATAAGGATGTCCTAGACATTACATGCCAAATTTTCAAAAGAACAGTTTCCCATTTGTAGGCATTTCTGTTTCCAAAATTTTCACCTGCAATTTTGCAGCCGAAGTTGAATTACACGTACACCTCAAGTACATAAGAGACATAATTATTCTGAGGTATACTCAGAATTTGTTCTGAGGTTCCAAATCACAGGTGTATGTTTTGCAATGCAAATGACACCTACAAAAGGAGAAGCTGGGCCTCAGCCCTTTTAAAAACAAACCCTAAACTCCATTTCCATTTTGTTTCAGATAACTTATATCTGCATGGACTAGCTTCTGATTTAGCAGAAAGCACCAAAAACAGCACATAAATAACTCAATTGCTATTCACTTTTGATTCTTTGGCCCTGGGGATCATCTATGCACGCGACCCCAAAAAAACTATATAGAAATTCGCATAAATCTATATCTAGAGCAGACCCTAAGCTGGTGTAAACTGTCATAACTCCATTGACTTCAATGGAAATTTTCACCAGCTGTGGTTCTGACCCCTGCTGTGTAGAAGAAAGCAAGGTATTTACCTCATGGTCATGGGCAGTCTGTCGCGTTCCATCTGAAACAAACAAAAAGATAAGATGATCTTGGAATGAAAGAGAACTGAAGGAGAAAGTTAGCTGTACAACCCAAAAGCACAGCTACACAATCTGTCTAGTTATACTATAAGGGATTTAGCACACAGTATCTCTATCTACCTTAGGTTTTTCTAATGCACCTGTCACAAGGCACAGTAGTGTGTACATAAACTTAACCATTCTGCATACACACTGGTCTAGGCAAACACAGAAGAGTATGTTCTAAGCAGCGTAACAGTCACAGGCTTTATAAAAAAGTGTTTGACACCTGCTAGTTGACTATATGCCTGGGATATTTTAGTACTCTAGCTAACAGTCTACTGTTTATTACTCTAGCTAACAGAATTGCCATGCTGGGTCAGACCAATGGTCTGTTTAGCCCAGTATGAATAGAATCATAGAATATCAGGGTTGGAAGGGAACTCAGGAGGTCATCTAGTCCAACCCCCTGCTCAAAGCAGGACCAATCCCCAACTAAATCATGCCAGCCAGGGCTTTGTCAAGCCTGACCTTAAAAACCTCTAACGAAGGAGATTCCACCACCTCCCTAGGTAACCCATTTCAGTGCTTCACCACCCTCCTAGTGATCCTCTCTTCCGAATGTGGGCAGAGTTTTCCCGAAGGCACTATTTTTGTTATGGTTTAATACCTTGCCGGTGTGATTTGCCTTTCTGCCTGTCCTGTGCTTTCCTGCTAAAGACTTTGTAGGCCTCTGTCTTCTGGTACTGCTCCAGTTCCCGCATGTACCGTTCCTTATCTCTATCTGCTTCATCAAGGTAGCGCTGCAATAAGAAAACAGAGTACTTCAGGAAAAAACCCAAACAATCAGACACATGATCATCTTACCTAGATAAACAGGAAAGGAATGGAGAAAAATGAGTGAGAATGCCTCAGAGATTCAGACACGGAAACCTGAGAAAGGATAACCAAGGCAAGAAAGGATAAAAACAGAGAGAGAAGCACTCCAGAATAGTAACATATTTTATCCAACTCATCATTCTGTTAAACTTACTTCTCGACTAGACTGATTGCAATAGTTTACTTAGATGCTGAGGTGACTTGATACCAGGCTACTCAATGCAGCCAAATGCTATCTTCACATAGTCAGAAAATATTTATGAACTGGATGTTTGTGGCCAGCACTATGTGCTGTTGAACAGGAAGCTCTGGTTGTGGATCACCCTTAGGGGCTCAGATTGTTGCTAAGGTGTGTCAGTCTTCCTGGAGCAGAGTACTGTGTTTTCTCACCTTCAGACCCCTAGAAGAAAGGCCAATACCATGCTGCAACACAATGTCTTGTCCTCTCATCTGATAGGGGAGACAGCTGTAGCTACTATGAGTGAACAGCTTTGTCACGGTTCCCTCCCCACTCTGAACTTTAGGGTACAGATGTGGGGACCTGCATGAAAGACCCCCTAAGCTTATTTTTACCAGCTTAGGTTAACAGTACACTGCCACCACCAAGTGTTAACCAAATATTTAGGGAGAGTCACTTGGAACTCTGCCTTTCCCCAAATATCTCCCAAGTCCCTAACCTCCCTTTCCTGGGCAGACTTGAGAATCCCCCTCACCAATTAGTCCTGGTGAACACAGATCCAAACCCTTGGATCTTAAAACAATGAAAAATCAATCAGGTTCTTAAAAGAAGAATTTTAATTAAAGAAAAAAAAAAAAAAAAAAAAAAGGTAAAAGGAGTACCTCCGTAAGATTAGAATGAAAGATAATCTCACAGACAATCAGATTCAAAACACAGAGGGTTTCCCTCTGGGCAAAACTTTAAAGTTACACAAAGAACCCAAATTTATCTTCCCTCTTATTTGCAAAAGAACACAAACAAGAAAATAAAAGTAAATCTAATACATTCCTTCTCTAAATACTCACTACCCTATAGGAGTTGGATGGTTCCTTCTTTCTCTGTGTCCGGCAAAAGCACACACAGCACAGACAAGAGACTTTTTTCCCCCTTCTAGATTTTAAAGTATCTTGTCCCCTTATTGGTCCTTCTGGTCAGGTGTCAGCTAGGTTATGTGAGCTTCTTAACCCTTTACAGGTAAAAGAGGAATTAACCCTTAACTGTATGTTTATGACAAGCTTACAGAGAGAATAGAACCAAGAGGGGTCTGTCAGTTTAAGCCTTAGTGATATTTCAGTCTGTTTTTTAAGAAATAATCTTGAAGCATTTTCATACATCTGCTTAATTCAGGGAGCTCTTGAACAATATAAGGAAACTGCTGGACTGCAAACCACTTAAAGAATAGTCATAACACAACATGGGAATTAACGGGGCCCTTTCACCAAAAAGCTCCCTTCCCTGCTATCATGTTTCAGTACAATATGCTTAAGGCTTTTTCCCCATACAAGTTTATATCATGCAGTATTATGCAAACCTATTCATATTACTCAGGCAAAACCTTAAGAGTGACCTCATATGCTTTTATATCCATTATATCAACAGATCAGTACATCTGGCTATCACACATTCCATGCATTTGGAACATTATTTTGCCTTAACACTGTTGAGGTCACTATTAAGATTTTGCAAGTGTGATGACACTGGAGTACATATTACTTCTGAGTACCTGTTGGAGATGGAAATGAAAGCCTTATGGAGCATTAGAGTGAATTATTGACAATGTTGTAGGCAATCTGAAGGTGGAAAGGAATGCACAAGTCTTACCCCCTAAACTTCTTATAGCCATCCTTTTATGGTTTTGGGTGGATAGCATGTGTCCTGCTGCAACCCTACCTGCCACTAAATGCAGTTTTTGTTTGCCAGTTTTCTAGTTATTTTTATACAGCTTTGGTGTACCTTAGTACATAGCTCTCCTGATATGGGGAGAAAGATCCATAGCTAGACTGCTGTCACTTGATTGACAGGAGTAATTGCTTGTCCCTTTGGAGACCAGCCAATGGAGAGAAACTTGAAACATGCTTTTCCACTGGGTTATGCAAGTACTCTCTAGTCAGCAGCAGAATACTGATGATCAGGAATTCTGGATTTGACTCTGGAAGAGGAGTGTGGTTTATAGTGGTTAAAGCTAGGAGACCCAAAACCTAATTTAGTCATACTGGGGTTTGTCATGTTAGAGACCTGGGTGCCAGGCCTGGAGTGTCCTTGCATAAGCAATCTGCTAACTTATTTTTTAAAAATGGGATAGGGAGGGGACGGGCGGGCGGGGGGAAGTGTTCAGCAGCCCTTCCCTGTCTTCTAGGTTTGGATTCAGGACCTGACTCAATAATAAGGGTAGTTCAGTGAATGCCACAGGAATTTAAACAGCAGTTAAAAAAGGAAGGATTTGATCGCCTGGTCTTCTCTTTCCCAGCCTTCCTTAGGCTACAGAGTTATTTGTTAAGGGAGTATCTGTCTTTTTTTTTTTTGGTCCCTAGAAGTGAGTGATGGCAATCATTCTGCAGCAGATTTGTCATCAAATTCAGCAAGTTGACCTTGACACACATTTTCTATTATGGTTAAAATGTTATCAAATGCTGTATGGACAAACACTATCAATGTGTAACTGATATTCTAGGAATCTGCACATGAGGAGCAACAATGTGAACAAAGGACAGAATGTTTTGATTTCTTGCAAAAAGGGTACAAAGAAAAAAAAAGACATTTTGTTAAAAAACAAAACAAAACACCCAAAGGATTGATTTCTGAGCTCTTGTTCTCTTTGTATCAATTCATTTTTCCATCAAAAAACTATGAAAAATTCAAATAGTACCCAAAGTTTATATTCTATGTTTTTGTCATTGCAATGAGATTTTTACAAAATAAAGGTTTAAAGCTTCTGTTAAACTGAACTCTCTCATGCAATCTTAACTACAGTGAAGCACCATACTCTCCAACTAGAAATCAGCTACAAATAGTACAAATTCAGTAGTGATGCTGGTATCTGCTCCAGAGGAAGGAAGTAAAGGAACAGACTAAGCTGGCCATTGCCTTAATTCACATATGAGGTACAGTGCAGAAGGCCCAGGTAGACTGATGAAGAGAGATACACCATATTCTGGTTGAAAGAAAAACAAATTCTCATTCCTGGGATAATTTTAGTCTCTATAAAAATCTAACAAAACACTCTCACTAGCACAACGTATAGAGCTCTGCTTTCTTTACATGGCTAGCAGACCTTGAAAATGGACAAATATATTGTCAAAAAAACAGCTCTGCCCCAGCTAGTTGTGAGCAGCCCATCCCTTCTGGTCTGCCTATCTTTCTCTTCTGAAAGACTTACGCGTGTCCTGCATACACTCTTGCAGTGTTTATCGGGCCTATGTAATTTTCCACCAGCAATGACTGGGGAGAGATACTTTGGTCCCAAGAGGGTTCCTTCCTTTATCTCTTAAGGACCTTTGCACCCCACCTAAAAACACCTTCCTAAACACGGTCATGGTCAAACACTGATGTCAACTTCCTCAGTAAGTAATAGTGTTCCCATTAAACAATAATCAAATCCCCAGCAAGGAAAAGGGAAGTTAATGGTACCCGTTTCTCCTCAGGAGGCAGCTTACTCCACTCATTGCCCAGCATCCTGGTGATCTCTGGGAAAGGGACTTCAGGCATCTTCGCTCGAAGCTGTTCCCTACGCTCATTCATGAATCGCACATACCCTGTGAGGGGGGATTTTGGGGCATTGCTGTCCCTAAGGGGTTTCTTCCTCTTTCTCCCTTTGGACCAGCCTCCTCGTTTAGTTCTTTGCTGCAAAATGAAACAGAAGAAAATTCAGACTGAAGGGGGGGTGGGAGAGGGGAAATCAAATAAATAATTTTACCCCTGGAAGGAACAAATATTCATGTCTCAAACATTTTCATAAGAAGTATGTGGCTGCAATATAAGCTTCTTCACTTATCTTCTCTGTAAAGTTCAAACTTCACTTTAGTCTAATCCTGACCTTCTTCTAAACAAAGCGAGACAAATGAGCCTCATTATCAGAAATTGTTTTCTAACATCACTGCAGATCCACAGGACAATAAGATATCTTCATCATTCCACTAAGATTCTCCTGCTGTAGGACCATGAGTTGAGACCAGCGTCACCACACTGAATGACACTGAAACATTTATTTAGGAACATAGCACACGCTGTAATGAACTTATCTTCTTCACTGTCCTAACTCCAGCAGTGACACATACTAGTTACTTCAAAAGGAGGGGGGTGGGGAAACTAACAAACAAACAAAACCAGTGTAGTTGGACAATTGTGCTAGATTATGCCAGGGGATATTTCTTCCTGACCACAGCCTATAATCATTTTATGCCATAAAGCACGAGGAGTAAATGCTCATGAAATTGTCATCCTAGGTAATGTAACTGCAGATGTTATTCTTATTCTAAACAAAGTGACTAATCTTTTTGGAAATTTACAAAGCCATTTGCCCCAGTATCTTATTGTAGAAAGTGCCACATATTATCTACCATACTGTATATTAACTAATATTTCCCCTTCTAATCTTTTGCATTCGGATGTTATGTTTCCCAGTCTTCTTGTATCATGGAATAATGTAAACAGGTGTGTACTACTGGGCTTTCCCTCCCATGCTCACTGTTGTTATGGATATCATTATAAATTGCTTTGAACTTTTAAAACTCCTTTCATCAGAAATTTGAAGAGCTTTACAGAAGCAGTCGAGTATTGTCCCTAGTTTACAGGTGGAGAAACGCTGAAGTAGGGCAGTTAAATATTTGCTTGAGTTTTCTGAACTCCATGTTTCTGTAATAATCTCTGGACTATGCTATCTTCTTATGCTATATAGTGCTATCGTGTATCCCTTCTTTTATTCTTTTAATCTCTCCTGGAATGGAAGGCTTCTTATTACTTTGATTGCCTTTCTTTGGCATTTCACTGCTTCTGTTGTAGTTCTTTTGAGATGAGGTCATCAAAACTGAATATAGCTTCAAGAGTGGACACAGAATTAAACATTTGCTTCAGTTCTTAAACATTCTAAATCATCAATATCAGTAAAGATGATACACAACTCGAGTCTAAGAAGCATTAGCAACACTTATACCTTTCATTAGAGTATCTCAAAACATTTATAGAGGTGGATAAGTATGTTTATCCTCATTTTACAGATACGGAAATGGAAGCACAGAGAAGTTGTGACTTGTTCAAGGTCACAAAGTAAATCAGGGAAAGAACTGGGAATAGCACTCAAGTCTGAGTCTCGGTCCCCTACTCAAACCATTAGATTGTACTATTTCCCCAGAGAAATGAAAGAAGGAAAGGTAGGCAAACCACTAAAATAGAAATCTCTATTTGCTAAACTAGGGAGTATCACAGATGTCACTCTTGGAGGGTCTGCCTGCTGTGTTTTCCTGACTATAGGAAAGTGGTTGTGCAACAGAGGAGAAATAGCTATTATGACAAAGTTCCTCCTCTGCCTTGGTGGGTCCTGCGCTTATTGGAGGATTTGCTCGCCTCAGAGATTCACGGCAGACCTCAGTTTGGCCACTTTTGCTAATGGCTCAAATCTGCCGTTCACTCAGCTAACCTCATCACTGGCCAGCATAGGGAAAAGGAAGGAGAACAATCCACACAGTCTCTGCTGATCCACCTAGTGGGTCGGGGGACAGGCCAGGGACCTTCCCCTCTGGTGGGACCCACAGTCCAGGTCAATTCCTCCTGTATCCAATAGGGAGTTGGGGGAATGGGGGGGAACTCGGGCCCGCCCTCTACTCCAGGTTCCAGCCCAGGGCCCTGTGGATCACAGCTGTCTACAGTGTCTCATGTAACACCTGTGTGACAGCTACAACTCCCTGGGCTACTTCCCCATGGCCTCCTCCCAACACCTTCTTTATCCTTACCACAGGACCTTCCTCCTGATGCCAGATAGTGTTTGTACTCCTCAGTCCTCCAGCAGCATGTCCTCTCACTCTCAGCTCCTTGCGTGCCCCTCACTGACTGAAGTGAGGTCCTTTTTAAACCAGGTGCCCAGATTAGCCTGCCTGTCTTAATGGATTCTAGCAGCTTCTTAATTGGCTCCAGGTGTCCTAATTAGCTGGCCTGCCTTAATTGGTTCCAGCAAGTTCCTGATTGTTCTAGAACCGCCCCTGTTACCTTACCCAGGGAAAAGGGACCTGCTTAATCTGAGGCTAATATATCTGCCTTCTATCACTCTCCTGTAGCCATCTGACCCGACCCTGTCACACTATAGAAAGTAAAGAGATGAAAAACAGCCTCGTGGATATGGTTGATGGATGAAAACTGGTATCCTACTAGAAAAAACTTAAATGAATAAAGTGACAGATGTGGAGGAGAGCCCATGCTTTGCTCTCTCAATCAGTTAGTCATTTGTGTTAACTATATTATTTCAGCTCACCTCTTCTTCAAGTCTCTGCTCACTGCTTTCAGCTGTATTAGAAGACTCATTTTGCAGCAACTGAACTTGTGACAAGTCCTCCACAAAGTCTGGGTTGTTCACAGACTGCGAAGCTCCTCCACCGTATGACCCCTCAGAGTGGGCTAACCTGGAAAATCAAGTTGTGTGAGAAAGTGCAGGCATTATCACAGTAATCTACTTCCTCTCTGCTCCTCTGAACTGTGCAATGATGTTGAAAATATTATGCAACTTTGAGGCCAGACAAAAGGTGAGACATTACAAAAACAGCAACTCAGACAGCTGTATGTTCCATCTGGCTATGTGATTTCCAGGCCACTGTCTACAGCAGTTACCAGGGATTTAGATAAAGCTCTTCTAGGTCCTGATGGAGACAAAACAGTCCTAAGAAAACTAACTTTTGGAGAAACTTGTGCTTATACAAGTCAAACACAAACAAAACTAAACACTATCTGATTCAAATAATAATCAAACATGCAGTCATACGAAAGGAGGTTTAGAGCAGGAATGAAAACACATGAACCCTGCAGCTGTGTTCAGGAGAACACCAGCAGAATGACAAAAAAGGTACAGAGTCTTATTTTCATCCTCCTCCAAGTGATTGCACCTTCTTGTATGCATTTCCTATAGCCCTGTATAAGTGTTCTGTGCCATTGGGATTTGGGATGGAACTCTTAGCAGTATTGTCTCCTGTTGACACACCTGGATATCTGAAGCAGACTCCAGTATCATTAGTTCCCACTAGGCCCCTGAATGGCTGCTATTCTTCAGTCAAGAGATGTTGAAGGTGGCATTTCATTCAATGGCAGCACTCTGCAGGAATCAGGCTGCCTGTGGTATGGAGGCCAACAGTGCAGCTATATGGAGGTACGTGATCTATGTCAGGGGTCCCCAACGTGGTGCCCGCGTAAGTGCGCCCACGTACTGGCCGGCGGACGAGCATCCGCCTAAATGCCGCTGAACGCTGCTTACCAGCGGCATTTCAGCAGATGCTTGTCCGCCGCCACCGTCCTCCGTGGCTCGTTGTCTGGCGCCTGCCAGACAAAAAAGGTTGGGGACCACTGATCTATGCGGATCCCCAGAGTTCTGCATGGATCTTGGGGATTTGCTGTTTTAGGGCAACAATCCACTAGTCATTCTAACCATTGTTCTTAATGGAACAATTCATAGATCTGTACAATTTTCAGATCTGCTCCCTGTGTATAGTCAAAGCTATAGCTGCTTAGTCAATGGACAAACAATTTTTACTACTTTTTTCTCCTGTTAGCAACGTTGAGCTAACATAGCTACAACAAAGCGAGATTAATTCTTATTCTGATTTGTGCAACATCAGATGTGTTAACCAAGTACCAACTGCAGAATTTTAATTTTCATGTACAGAGAGTTGTACCTCTATAGCACCTTATCCTGAAATACACATCGGTTGGGCCAGGTTTACTGATTATGATACACAACCCAGATAGAGACAGGCTTGACTTTCAGATCTCAGGTTGAGATTGCAGAGCCAGCAGTTAGAAAAAACAAAAAATGGTTTATTATACACTAAGCATACTGAGAGAGAGAGAGAGAGCGCCTATAGAACCTCACAATGATATTTTCAGTCACTTCTCAGATTTTAACCCACTTTAGGCATCACAACCTTCCAATCTACTATTAAATACAGAGTAGGGAAAATTTTGAGTGTGGTGCATGGACTTTCAATGAGAGGTGATGAAAGATCATTCCCTTAATCCCTCCTAACAGCATGTCAAGATTCCTCCATGCACCACACTTGGGGTACGTCTATACTTACCTCCAGGTCCGGCGGTAAGCAATCGATCTTCTGGGATCGATTTATCGTGTCTTGTCTAGACGCAATAAATCGATCCCGGAAGTGCTCGTCGTCGAGAGGAGTACGCGGAGTCGATGGGGGAGCCTGCCTGCCGCGTCTGGACCCGCGGTAAGTTCGAACTAAGGTACTTCGACTTCAGCTGCGTTATTCACGTAGCTGAAGTTGCGTATCTTAGTTCGAAGTGGGGGGTTAGTGTGGACCAGGCCTAAGTGTCAGCAAATCTTGAGGCCCAGAGACGTGGGGCCAAGTTCAGACCTGGTACAAGCAGGTGCCTCTATGTTTAATTACATAGAATTGCACTTGTTTATGCTAGATCTGAATTTTCCCCTTGGAGGTCTAAAGAATAGAAAAGAAACCTGTTAAAGCACAACAATGCTTAAAAAAAAAAAAAAGTATTCCTGAAAAAGAATCTAATCTTTTGTCGCTGAGTCCTTAAGACAGGGCCACTGCTTTATAGCCTGTGCAAATAAGGACAATTTGTTTGATAGACAGGAAGGGTATTCATTTATCAGTTCTGTTCTTGGACATCCCTTAATCAAGAATGTATCTTTAACAGAAATTCAGTGGTGCCACTGGAGCACAATAAAGAAAACAATCACCATATCTGCAGACCCACTCTAGAAGGCTGTCCTTGGAAAGCAAGATTTTACAAGTACCAGAAGAGTACACGTGAAAGAGAAAATTAATGGTGCTCAATTGGTCTAGTAGCAAGAGTGTACAATCAGGAGTACTTTCTCTGGAGAGTCTGCAAAGAGAGAATAGCTGTGAGCTGAGTTTAGAGCAGCAGTTGCTTACCCACTTGTGGGCATATCACTGCTCTCCTTTGAGCCATCATCATCTGCAAACAGTGGGGGTAGGGATGAGCCAGCCATCAGGTTCTCCATACCTCTGTGAAGAGAAAGTGGAAGCAAAATTAACATTTGAATTACTTCTCTCACGTGTTCTGCCCATTTAATGATCTGTCTTTGTAAGTCTTACTTAACTGCCAGTTCTTAAAAGCCAAACAGCACATCAGCCTCAATTTAATCCTGCATCCTGGTCAATCTTTTGAATTATTTGGACCTAAAGATTTGATTGTGTGACATGAACCTACCAATTTATATTACTGGGTTATCCCATGTTGGTCCCATCAATCAGGTATTTGTAATCAGAACTGAAGATTGTTGGCATCTTAGTAGGAAATAATATTCTGCCTACCTACCTAAATCCTCCTTGCAGTTTCAATTTGAGTTGGTGTTTTCACTTCCTCTCCTGACTCCTGTACTTTCACAATGTATTGGAATGCACATATTTGTTGCATTGCTCCTCATATGTGGCTACCTTGTTTTCTGTTTTCAAGGTATAATACGACATACTAAGTTCACAAGCAAAATGGGCAAGCACTTGTAGCATGATGTAATTCTCATTGAAAGATACCAGGTTGCCAGAGCAGACGTGGCTTCTTTTGTGTCCTCACATTCGCCAGTCGGATATTTGAATTTGTGGAGGAATAACTTCATGAATACAAGCTTATTTCATACCCATCCCTAGCAGAACATATACAAGATCTCTGAACAAGAAATCACTACAATTATCAGAAAAAGTTTCATCCTGATGGAAAGAGAAAAATTCCATTCCTACTCTTAGAGTATGTCTACACTACAGAGTTACCAGGGCTCTTACTCTGGTTTTGCCACAACCCCCACCCATCCACACACAAAAACTTCTCACCCACTTATAGTGGTGCTTTCACAGTAATCTGCTTCCCCTCTGCTCCCCTGTTGGTGGGTGTAGGTTGGAGCCCAGGTGCTGTTTTTACTCAGATGAGTAACCCACCCACTTTGCAATGAAGTCATAAGCGAACATCTGATACTCTGATAGTATTCTAATAGTCCTCCGGTGCATTCCCACAATTCTCCCCATGTGCCCAGAAGGACAGACAAGTTCTATAACAATTCAATGGGAAAGAATCATAAAGCAAGTCAGCTTACTGCAGTGCAAAGAACCAAGGAATATGCCCCCAGAAGTCCTAGCAACACACATGGTGGAGTGCAGCACTAGTGAAGACACAGTGACTTGGGTAAAGCTTTGCAGTGTGACTGTTCACACCCAGGCGCTCAAACCTGAGTGCTGATCGCCTGAGTTAACTCTGCAATGAAGACAAACCCACAGAATCCCCACATCGGTGTGAGACAAGTGAGAGACTCAGGGTATGTCTACACTACAGGATTAATCCGAATTTAGATAATTCGAATTTGGGAAACAGGTTGTATAAATTCGATTGTGCGCGGCCACACTAAGCACCTTAATTCGGTTTTAAACCACATTAATTCGGTGGTGTGCGGCCACACTACCCCATTAACTTAAACACAGTAATTCGGTGGTGTGCGTCCACACTAAACCTAATTCGAATTAACAAAATCAATTTAGGCTCTACTCCGTTCGTCGAGGTGGAGTACAGAAATCGATTTAAAGGGCCCTTTAATTCGAATTAACTGGCTCTGTAGTGTGGACGGGTGAAGGGTTAATTCGGATTAAGGCAGCTAAATCCGAATTAAAGTCCTAGTGTAGACCAGGCCTCAGATCCAGGCTAAGTGTCACATTTAAACACTCTGGCTACTTTACAGCTTTTTAAAAGGGTATCTTGATGGTCAAGGACAACAAGAAAACACCTGAAAAATTCCCAAGTTCTACAGTAACTGACTTGGTAAGGCAATATTATTACAAAAAGAGGGGCAGCAGGATGCAAGGTTCACTACCAAACAGGTGCTTGCAGGAACAGTTACAATCTGTGTGGAGAAGTTGGATTATTTTGAATGCTAAGAAGGCCATTTGTTGTGCATATACTGATCCTGCATCTTGGCAATAAATCCAGCAAATCCTGCATCTTGGCAGACTAGATTATCCTTGCGGTCCCTTTTAACCCTATCAGTTAATTCCCTGATCAGCAGATCAATGTAAGGTCTAGGTGAAATGGACACTTCAAATCAATCTAATTTCCACCTGGAATGGAAATTACACTTTCAAGATTTCCACACAAAAATTCAGTGTGTGTGTGTGTGTGTGTGTGTGTGTGTGTGTGTGTGTGTGTGTATGTATGTATGTATGTATGTATATGTAAGGGTAGAAGGTGGCGGGAGGGAAGTAAAGGTGTCAGTACCTTCTCTCCACTTCCTATCCTGTGTTTTTCTACCTCTGGAAATCCATTTTATTTCCTCCTTTCTTGACTGTCCTCTTTCTAATGACCTCAATAAGGGATTGGAGTGAGGGACCCTCTTCTTTCGAATTTAACTAAAAATACGAAGTTTGGGTTTCTAGCTAATATAAACCTGTTATGGGAAAAGGCAAGTGCATCTTATTGATGTAAGAGAAAGAGGCTCAATCAGGAAGGCAGAAATCCTCCTACTATTATGGGAATTCTTTATATCAAACACCATTCTTAAGTGTGAAAATCTCCCATATAAAAAAGAAAAAGTGACTGCAATAAAGATCTGAAAGCCCCTAAAATAGGAAATGCTTAGGATACACTGGTGGAGTAGAGTGAAGCATTTCAATCCTGAATGAAATGAACAGAGGGGATGAATTCTCCTTTCACCTGAGGAGATGGATCCATCCAAATTAAGGTTGGGGTTCTTAAATGAAGCACTATGAGACAGTGTAAGCAGAGGCGGATTTACAGTAAAATACAGTGTGCCCTGGCATGGGGCCCCACAACGACAGGGGGCCCCAGGGCCGGGCAGCTGCGGGGGCAGAAGCTTGGTACTGCCGGCTCCTGTTCCCGGCTCCGCACCCACCAGCAGCCAAGCTCCCCTCTCCCCCACCTCCTCCCCCGAGCATGCAGCATTCCCGCCCCTTCCCCTCCCTCCCAGGGCTTCCCCCACCTCCAAACAGCTATTTCCTGGCACTCAGGTCGAGGAGCGGGGCCACAGCACACTCAGGGGAGGAGGTGGAGAAGAGATGGGGGCGGGGCTTTGGAAAAGGGATGGGGGCGGGGCGGGGCAGAGCAAAGGCGGTGCCCCCACACTCCCCCTCTGCATACACCCCCAGCCCCCTGCCCTGAGCCACTCAGGGCAGGGGGCTAGGAGCACCCCCATGACCCTAGCCCACACCCCCAGCCCAGACTCCTGCACCCCCCTCACACACCCTCAGCCCCCTGCCCTCCATGACTCCTGCCCCCCTCCCCACATCCCCACCTGCACCCCTTGCACCAAACAGGAGCTGCCCCATGTAACCGCTCCACACCCCAACCCCCTGCCCCAGCCCTGAGTCCCCTCCCGCACCCTACTCCTTGCCAGACCCTGCATCCCAACCTGCTCCTGCACCCTAACTTCCTCCCAGACCCTGCACCCCCAGCCCTGAGCCCCGTCCCGCACCCTAAGTCCTGGCCAGACAACACACCCCACCATTTTTTTACATTTTTTTTTATAAAGGGCTCTTATCCAAAGAACTTTACAATTGTTAGCTAACAGTACAAACAATATTTGGAAAGATCATTAAGTGGTCCGCCGAGACCCTCAGCTATTTTCAAGTGGTCTGTGGAAAAATAAGTTAGACTACAAAAGCAATCAAGGTACCTCACTTTATTTTCATTTACTTCCTATTACTTATAGGAGGAGGAAGAAGAAAAAAAAGAATGAAAAATGGGGGTGGGGAGGAGATAAGAGAGAATGTTCTTTTTCTTGGCTGGGTCCCAAGGAGGGGCCCCAAAAATGAAGCTTAGCACAGGGCTCCACTAACTCTAAATCCGCCACTGAGTGCAAGAGTTAATTAAATTGGAGACTGAATTCTTCTTTGATCCCACTGGAGAGTTGGTTAAGCACAGTAGCTAAATGTAACCCTGGCCCTATACCATGTACTAGATGCTCTGAATGGAGCAAGTTAATAGACTATAACAAAGAAGTTTTGTTTGTGTTACATACAGCTATTAAGCTTGCAACCTCCTTCAGTGCCGTCAATCTTATCTTAGATGAGCCCTGAATTTATCTAATAGAAAAGAGTATTTAGAAAACTAGAGCAAACTTTGCACATAAATATTTTAAAATTATATATATGAAAAAGTTGTGTGTATGTCTTCTCTGAAACACAGAAAGCACTCTGTATTTTGCAGGCTTCTCTCCAACAGCTTTCCCAGAGGTCAAGGGCCTCTTCAGAATCCCAGCCTCATCAGTCAGGTGGCACTCACCAATCCACACATGCCTTGAGAGAATATATACTGTCTGCTGGTGAACAAACCATCACAAAGTGCTTTTCTGTCCATCATGCCCAGCATGACCCTTCTCACTGGGTTCCTCTCTACATCTGGACCCAGTCAGCAGCATCAGAGCCTCAGCTTGCTTTCAAACTGTGGGGAATCAGCCGGACATCAAACTTAACAACATACAAGCAGACCACATAAACACAGGAAGCTGGAAGAACACACACTTCTGTCTTCTTTAAAGTTTGTTTTATTTAACCCATATGGTTTCGATATTAATTCCTTCAGTCAGTGTACAGGCAGGCCCCAAAGAAAGAAAAAGCTCAAATACTAGTGAATATGCAACGGCTTCTAAACTGTTCCAATAAACAGGAAGACAATGCAGTTCCCAACACAATAGCTGAAAAGAGATGAGAATCTGCATAAGATGGCAGGTCGGGGTGATCTGCCGGCACTGGGGCTTCCAAACCATTTCCTGTCATTAGCCCTTCAGTTGTGGTCTCTGTGCCTGAAAGCATTCAAGCCCTCAGCCCCCGTGTTATGGTCAGTCAGCCTCAAAGTGACAGAGCACCAAGGCTCATTTAAAACATGTAAAAATAATATTTTGGGAGGGCAAAGTTATTGTATCCAGGGGAACAACATGGAGACAAACTGATAAAGGGGGAGGCTGTTTGGACTCCCATCTCAACCTTCAGCCTGAACAGGAGTAGTAGGA